TGGTCCCGAGGATGATCATTGAGTGTGATTTTGCCCTGGTCCCGAGGATGATCATTGAGTGTGATTTACCCCTGGTCCCGAGGATGGTCATTGAGTGTGATTTACCCCTGGTCCCGAGGATGATCATTGAGGATGATCATTGAGTGTGATTTTCCCCTGGTCCCGAAGATGACCATTGAGTGTGGTTTCCCCCTGGTCCCGAGGATGATCATTGAGTGTGATTTTCCCCTGGTCCCGAGGATGATCATTGAGTGTGATTTTGCCCTGGTCCCGGGGATGATCATTGAGTGTGATTTTCCCCTGGTCCGAGAATGATCATTGAGTGTGATTTTGCCCTGGTCCCGAGGATGATCATTGAGGATGATAATTGAATGTGATTTTCCCCTGGTCCCGAGGATGATAATTGAATGTGATTTTCCCCTGGTCCCGAGGATGATCATTGAGTGTGATTTATCCTGGTCCCGGGGATGATCATTGAGTCTGATTTTCCCCTGGTCCCGAGGATGATCATCGAGTGTTATTTTGCCCTGGTCCCGAGGATGATCATTGAGTGTGATTTTCCACTGGTCCCCAAGATGACCATTGAGTGTGATTTTCCCCTGGTCCCGAGGATGATCATTGAGTGTGATTTTGCCCTGGTTCCGAGGATGATCATTGAGTGTGATTTTGCCCTGGTCCCGAGGATGGTCATTGAGTGTGATTTTCTCTGGTCCCGAGGATGATCATTGAGTGTGATTTTGCCCTGGTCCCGAGGATGGTCATTGAGTGTGATTTTCTCTGGTCCCGAGGATGATCATTGAGTGTTATTTTCTCTGGGGCCGAGGATGATCATTGAGTGTGATTTTCCCCTGGTCCCGAGGATGGTCATTGAGTGTGATTTTCCCCTGGTCCCAAGGATGATCATTGAGTGTGATTTATCCTGGTCCCGGGGATGATCATTGAGTGTGATTTTCCCCTGGTCCCGAAGATGATCATTGAGTGTGATTTTCCCCTGGTCCCGAGGGTGATCATTGAGTGTGATTTACCCTGGTCCCGAAGATGATCATTGAGTGTGATTTTCCCTTGGTTCCCAAGATGACCATTGAGTGTTATTTTCTCTGGGGCCGAGAATGATAATTGAGTGTGATTTCCCCCTGGTCCCGAGGATGATCATTGAGTGTTATTTTCTCTTTGGCCGAGGAAGATCATTGAGTGTGATTTTTCCCTGGTCCCGAGGATGGTCATTGAGTGTGATTTTGCCCTGGTCCCAAGGATGATCATTGAGTGTGATTTATCCTGGTCCCGGGGATGATCATTGAGTGTGATTTTCCCCTGGTCCCGAGAATGATCATTGAGTGTGATTTTGCCCTGGTCCCGAGGATGACCATTGAGTGTGATTTACCCCTGGTCCCGAGGATGATCATTGAGTGTGATTTACCCTGGTCCCGAGGGTGATCATTGAGTGTGATTTACCCTGGTCCCGAGGATGATCATTGAGTGTGATTTACCCCTGGTCCCGAGAATGATCATTGAGTGTGATTTTGCCCTGGTCCCGAGGATGATCATTGAGTGTGATTTACCCCTGGTCCCGAGGGTGATCATTGAGTGTGATTTACCCTGGTCCCGAGGATGATCATTGAGTGTGATTTACCCCTGGTCCCGAGAATGATCATTGAGTGTGATTTTGCCCTGGTCCCGAGGATGATCATTGAGTGTGATTTACCCCTGGTCCCGAGGGTGATCATTGAGTGTGATTTTGCCCTGGTCCCGAGAATGATCATTGAGTGTGATTTTCCCCTGGTCCCGAGAATGATCATTGAGTGTGATTTTGCCCTGGTCCCGAGGATTATCATTGAGTGTGATTTACCCCTGGTCCCGAGGGTGATCATTGAGTGTGATTTACCCTGGTCCCGAAGATGATCATTGAGTGTGATTTTCCCTTGGTTCCCAAGATGACCATTGAGTGTTATTTTCTCTGGGGCCGAGAATGATAATTGAGTGTGATTTCCCCCTGGTCCCGAGGATGATCATTGAGTGTGATTTATCCTGGTCCCGGGGATGATCATTGAGTGTGATTTTCCCCTGGTCCCGAGAATGATCATTGAGTGTGATTTTGCCCTGGTCCCGAGGATGATCATTGAGTGTGATTTACCCCTGGTCCCGAGGGTGATCATTGAGTGTTATTTTCCCCTGGTCCTGAGGATGGTCATTGAGTGTGATTTACCCCTGGTCCCGAGAATGACCATTGATTGTGATTTTCCCCTGGTTCCGAGGATGATCATTGAGTGGGATTTTCCCCTGGTCCCGAGGATGACCATTGAGTCTGATTTACCCCTGGTCCGAGAATGACCATTGAGTCTGATTTACCCCTGGTCCCGAGAATGATCATTGAGTCTGATTTACCCCTGGTCCCGAAGATGACCATTGAGTGTGATTTCCCCCTGGTCCCGAGGATGATTATGGTATGGCTATCTCTGTGTCTAGTCTTTAACATCCGCCTGTATTTAATCGTTTTCTTAGATACTGTATTCATTTTCGTGGAACTCAAATTTCGTGGCTTTTCAAAAAATGACGTTTTCGCTGGCATTTGATTCCATGATTTTAGAGTAGCAACGATTCAACGACAGTAAATTCCTTACGGAATTTAAATGTTCTACAATAGTTTCTTCGAATCCCGATATATTGCAACAATTAATTAAGCAAACTATTTCTTAATATCTTTATAGTCGACTGTTTTGCATGTAAAATCCTTTAACTTTTCTTAAAAAGTACATGTCTTGAGATGATCGTATATATCAAACCAGAGTTAATCAAAACTTCGATATATACATGTTTTTATATACGCAAAGTAATTTAGGCATATCATATCAGTCTGTTTTAAGATATCCACAAATACCATTTTGTTCTTCAAACACATGTAGACATGCAGGAACTGTTTGATCAAGCCCTGTATTTCGGAGAGATCAAAGATCTCGTATCTGAATTTTCCTGTGATAAGTAAACTCAATAAGACTTTACGATCAGTTTGATAGTTCACAAATGAACATTTGTGTGGTTTATTTGAAATCTCCCACGTGTATCTGTCGAATAATTAGTCTACAAAATATACACATTGTCTGTCGACCTTGATAATTTTAGGTTTGGGATTGAGTTGTCATTTCTCCTCACCACGTGATTTGATGTGATGACGTCATACTGAAATCGACATTATCAAATGAAAGGATTTGACTTGAATCTATAAAACGATTACACAACCCATTGTATAAGATATCGCTCTGGGTCTGCACTCAATTAATGTTTCTGTTTTAAATTCAAAGTGCATATGCACATATATCAAAACATGATTTAAAATGAATATGAATTTATGCAGATTGCAGATTTGACGTTTACTCGTGTGATTTCATAGTTCCATCTTGTGTGTCCGTTTTGACATCTCGGAATTTTTATTACATTATTATATTTTTTAAGCATACCAGATTTTTTGTAAGCATTTGAATTTAAAATGTGTGATTGCTATCGAAACTTCGGTATACACTGTACTCGAAACTCACTTAAGCAGAGTAATATCGTTACTAATAGGAATAAACAGGTACTCGGATGACATAGTAACCGTATCAGAAAGATTTTGTTCAGTAAGTGACAGAAGTGTTTATTAAAACATTTTATCGAAATATTATTTTTTAAATACAAAATGAGCTGACGCACCATTTTAACTAATTCTTAAAGGATCTCTGTCATATTCGTTTGCCTATATTGGTAATATTTTACTATTTTGTTTTCGACTTTAGATAGAAACCTTTGATAAAGACTCTATTCTACAATTTGGTAGGTTCATTAAGAAAATGTCTATGTCCTAAAATTAGTGAATCCATTTTCCAAAACCGCGAAAATTTGAATCGTCGAAAAACACTCTTTTTAATGCTTGGAAATTCACTACGTTTAATTCGGGGATTCGTTTAATCATAATACTTTAAAATGCGAGACACGAAGGTGTTCAAATTCGGTTTAAGTTAAGTCTGTCAAATTCACAATAAATCAGAGCAGACAAGCCTGAACCAACACACACGAAGTGACAAGGTGAATTAAATATCTCCTTGATACAAGTTCTGTGCAGGAAAAAAGGGATGGTTTAAAGTGAATCTGAGTTTGAAAGCAGATGTCACCGACATTATAGTAGTATCACAATGGAAGTTGTTTGATTAAGATGGTAGCATGTTTTCATGTATAATTTGCATTATCGAATCTGTTTTTAAATTGATTCTCCTAAAGTACGCTGGTGGCAGCCTTTAATCATCTCCATTGTAGCAGAAAAATACTCGCCATTATGTGAAGTAAATCGGTAGTGAGATCACATATCTACAAGTTATCCGCTTTTCTCCCAAATCCCAATTTCTGTAACATTTCAGTAACTTGAAAAAAAATAATAGTTGGACATGTACCGACGGGATTATCTCCCTTAAAATACGGTTCAACTTCTCTCCGCTAGGTTTCGCTCTTAAACATGAGTAATTAAAGAGAAAAGCTGTCAGGTAACAAAGGTGTTCTGTTTCATTTTCAACACCATGGACATGATTCAAATCAGATGCATATCAAGCTTTTCCTGCAAAACTAAATAAAAAAATACTTGAAATTATGCAGGGGTAACTTCCTGAAAATAAGAAAAAAAAAGAAAGAAAAAAAACCAGTTTTGTATGTATACACGCGTTATCTAAGCGCAACAGAGCCAGAATACATAAGTCATGATTTTTAAATCATAGCGAAATTCGTTCGAAGTTTCTAGGAACGTTCGACTTACTCCCCCTGTCTATACGTAATTACGCAGTTACTATTTTCATTAAAGTACTCTTTGTGAAATAATTTTCTTTCTTTTTCTTTCCTTCTTTCTTTCTTTGATGAAAGGTGTTGGTTAGTGAGCGTGGACATCAGATCTTGATCCACGATCGCAGTTTTGATATTTGATAATTTTGTTTTTTGTTTATTTTCTATTTATTCTAACGTACATTTGTTTTGTCTATTTGTAGGAGCCCAACATATACAAGCCAATCGCTTTAGAGGAATTTGAGAGGAATATACTAGACCTGAGGACCCATTATGACGTCATACGAATGTTTCTAGTGAATAGTAGTGTATCAGACGATGATATCTCAAGACTGATTGATAACGAGGACAGTTCTGACGTCATAGATGACATATCAGGGTCCCATAAAAGGGATTATGATTACTATAATGATGAATGGGATTATAACGATGAAGATCGTGTAGGTAAGTCAGTCATCTTATAGGTGTAAACTGTATGGTTCTTAGTCATCGAACAAAAACTTAACAAAAATAGGAATGATCAGTAAGCTTAAGGACGCATCTGTAAACACCAGGGTCACGAGTAATTTACTGCGATAGTGAAATGTATCTGATGTCTAATTATTTCTTTGTCGTTGATTTGAATTTATGACACTGATGCCGTATGCCTTTGACAGTAAAGTATTTCATATTTGATAGTGTTGTCGTATTTGACAATGACGTCGTTAGTATTTGTCAGAGATGCCATGTATATTTGAAAGTGATGTCGTGTGAATTTGACAGTAAAGTAAGCAATTAAGTGTTATTTTGAGTATTTGACAGTGCTGTGTGTTTTTGATAGTGGATTCGTGCATATTAGACAATGATGCCGTTTATTTTTGACAGTGCTGTGTGTTTTTGATAGTGGATTCGTGTATATTAGACAATGATGCCGTTTATTTTTGACAGTGCTGTGTGTTTTTGATAGTGGATTCGTGTATATTAGACAATGATGACGTTTATTTTTGACAGTGCTGTGTGTTTTTGATAGTATTTTTTGCAGTGCTGTGTGTGTTTTTGATAGTGGATTCGTGTATATTAGACAATGATGCCGTTTATTTTTGACAGTGCTGTGTGTTTTTGATAGTATATTGACAATGATGCCGTTTATTTTTGACAGTGCTGTGGGTTTTTGATAGTGGATTCGTGCATATTAGACAATGATGCCGTTTATTTTTGACAGTGCTGTGTGTTTTTGATAGTGGATTCGTGTATATTAGACAATGATGCCGTTTATTTTTGACAGTGCTGTGTGTTTTTGATAGTGGATTCGTGTATATTAGACAATGATGCCGTTTATTTTTGAAAGTGATATATGTAATTAACCATGATAACGTGAGTGTTTGACACACAATGATGTCGTTTTGAATTGACAGTGAAGTCGCGTATTTGACAATGACGTATTTATTTGACAGTGTACAGTGATGGTCATTTGACAAATGTCTGATGATTGATGTATTTGACAGTATAGTCATGTTTTTTACATTTTGTCGTGTGATTTCACATTTTATCGAGTGCTTTCACGTTTTATAGTGTGTTTTTTTTTTTACATTTTATCGTGTGTTTTTTACAGTAATGCAGAAAGCTTTGGAACATTATGCGGAGATTAAGACGGGACCATTAGGTGAATGCAGTCAACCCAGACCGGAAATAGTACGGGTCAGAGATTTTACGGGAGACGCCCACAAAGTGTATGTCCCAAAATTTACAGTCATACATAAATGTCGGAACGTGACCGGGTGTTGTTGGTTCGATTCTCAAGAATGTCGCCCACTTAATGTGCAAATTGTGTGGAAACCTTTCATCGTAAGTAACTCAAAACGCCTCGCTCATGGAATTATAGACTACTGTCATTCATCGATTTAAATTTGTTTTTAATTAGAGAAAGAAACTTTCACCTAGAAATGGCGGAAATTAGCTTTTGTAATGAATATGTAAAGGTCAAAGGTGAAAAATTAACACCTGTCAAGTGATTCGATTAAGAAAATATCAGATAAAGTATACAAATCTGTGAATGTCTATACATATGTGCTGGTCCATGCGGAAAAACTGTATACTGATCACTTTTGCGCATACATCTCCTTTTGATTCATTCCAAGAAAAACATGCGAAACGATGGTAAAAGTAACTGAAGTCAATGCTTAACATGTGCTATTGTTTTCGATTATGGTATGAAACGTGTTCGATTTCCCAGTTTTAAATTTGCTCGTTTGGTGTATGAAGGGAGGTAACTCGCGGTGATCGTCGCCCGTTTATCGTCTAACGTTCGTTGCCTGGAGTTCATTCATGAACCGCAGTGATTTGAATAATTGTGTTAGCTTTTATATTTCAACATATTGTATAGATTTAGCATAACAGAATATCCAAATGAACGCCTTTCTAAGTAAGTGAATATAATTCTCATTCAAGATCATGAAATAAAAAGTTGTTGAGAAATGGTATAATTATTACGGTAATGTCCATTTCCTGACTAAAAAGTTTTAAAAAGAGGTCCGTACAGCGGTGGGGAATATCAAGGCAATTCCTTAAACAAAAGCAGAATAGATCAATACGCCACATGTAACTTAGAATAATTCAGATTTGTCGCTCTGCCCATTAAGTATTCAATCTGTAATGTAAATCGGAGATATTTCAATCAACTTATTTCCCTTCACAAATCATTATGTATAGCAGAGAACTATGCAAACATCGAGGTCGAGCTCAACTCTATGTATATGTGATCATCTTGTCACAAAGGTGGTAATGTGTGGATATGTTGTTCCTTTGTCAAATAATCTAAGAAAACCTTACAAACGATGCATAGCGGGAAATACTTGTCCTTTGAGATACATACCTAGTTACAGTTATTGGCGAGTGAACAGTTTCTTGTGCATGAAAGCCCGAGTTTGTTGAGTTTTCCGTCCGTTGTTCGCTATCGATGAAAAATTAACTCTATTACTTTCGGCGAATTATAGTTGAAGTATTCATGAAAATGTACAATTAATTTCTAATTTAAAAGCAAACGGAATTTCACCGTCAAAAAAGGTTATCGTGAAGTCAGGAGATAGTCTGTGACTGTGTACCGAGAGTACGCCTTGCAGGGGTTCCCTGGTTTCGCGTTTATAACTTTTCTTTTTCTCAGCCAATCGCATATTACTTTAAAAATGACGTAGGACGATTATCCATCATCTTATTATACTAACCAATGAAATCGCTTGAATAAAGCAAATGTCGTCATTTCGATCTAATTTAGAGTCGGGAAATTCCAACAAAGGGAATTTCTTACCCCGGTATTTGTCACGACAAATCCAGAGCTTCGCATGCTAAAATATGAGCGCATATGAGTTTTGAATAATTTCTTGATATAAAAACAGTACACTTACTTCACAATAAACGAGAAAGAACTTACGAATAACATGAAACTGTGTCTCCGTCCGGGCGACGAATTCGGCTTGAGCGGGCTCCTATCATGCTTAGCGTTGTAGTCAAGAACGACAACTCAATACCGCTTGAAGTTCGCGGGAGTGTTTATATTTCACGATATGCTTTATTTTTTGCAGACGGTATCCTATAATATGGATGACGACACGGTGGAGAAAAGTACGGACAGCGTTGAATGGGTGTTATTTGAAAATCACACTCATTGTTCCTGTCAGAACCTCAACCCCTTGCCCGAGTAAGTATCCAATTCCATATTCCGATTAAGTAGTCTCTTAGCTCTAGCCCTTGTGTGTCACTTTGTGCGTGTTGTCAATTATTGTCTCTATCACATGTATAATAGAAAAGGGAAGCATATACCCTTAACTCTATCACAGGTATAATGGAAAAGGGAAGAATATATCCTTAACTCTATCACAGGTATAATAGAAAAGGGAAGCATATACCCTTAACTCTATCACAGGTATAATGGAAAAGGGAAGAATATATCCTTAACTCTATCACAGGTATAATAGAAAAGGGAAGCATATATCCTTAACTCTATCACAGGTATAATGGAAAAGGGAAGAATATATCCTTAACTCTATCACAGGTATAATGGAAAAGGGAAGCATATACCCTTAACTCTATCACAGGTATAATGGAAAAGGGAAGTATATATCCTTAACTCTATCACAGGTATAATGGAAAAGGGAAGAATATACCCTTAACTCTATCACAGGTATAATGGAAAAGGGAAGTATATATCCTTAACTCTATCACAGGTATAATGGAAAAGGGAAGTATATATCCTTAACTCTATCACAGGTATAATGGAAAAGGGAAGTATATATCCTTAACTCTATCACAGGTATAATGGAAAAGGGAAGCATATATCCTTAAATCTATCACAGGTATAATGGAAAAGGGAAGCATATATCCTTAACTCTATCACAGGTATAATGGAAAAGGGAAGTATATATCCTTAACTCTATCACAGGTATAATGGAAAAGGGAAGCATATATCCTTAAATCTATCACAGGTATAATGGAAAAGGGAAGTATATATCCTTAAATCTATCACAGGTATAATGGAAAAGGGAAGCATATATCCTTAAATCTATCACAGGTATAATGGAAAAGGGAAGCATATATCCTTAACTCTATCACAGGTATAATGGAAAAGGGAAGTATATATCCTTAACTCTATCACAGGTATAATGGAAAAGGGAAGCATATATCCTTAAATCTATCACAGGTATAATGGAAAAGGGAAGCATATATCCTTAACTCTATCACAGGTATAATGGAAAAGGGAAGCATATATAAATCTATCACAGGTATAATGGAAAAGGGAAGCATATATCCTTAACTCTATCACAGGTATAATGGAAAAGGGAAGCATATATCCTTAAATCTATCACAGGTATAATGGAAAAGGGAAGCATATATCCTTAACTCTATCACAGGTATAATGGAAAAGGGAAGAATATATCCTTAACTCTATCACAGGTATAATGGAAAAGGGAAGGATATACCCTTAACTCTATCACAGGTATAATGGAAAAGGGAAGTATATATCCTTAACTCTATCACAGGTATAATGGAAAAGGGAAGCATATATCCTTAAATCTATCACAGGTATAATGGAAAAGGGAAGCATATATCCTTAACTCTATCACAGGTATAATGGAAAAGGGAAGCATATATCCTTAACTCTATCACAGGTATAATGGAAAAGGGAAGCATATACCCTTAACTCTATCACAGGTATAATGGAAAAGGGAAGAATATACCCTTAACTCTATCACAGGTATAATGGAAAAGGGAAGCATATACCCTTAACTCTATCACAGGTATAATGGAAAAGGGAAGCATATATCCTTAAATCTATCACAGGTATAATGGAAAAGGGAAGCATATATCCTTAACTCTATCACAGGTATAATGGAAAAGGGAAGCATATATCCTTAACTCTATCACAGGTATAATGGAAAAGGGAAGAATATATCCTTAACTCTATCACAGGTATAATGGAAAAGGGAAGCATATATCCTTAACTCTATCACAGGTATAATGGAAAAGGGAAGCATATATCCTTAACTCTATCACAGGTATAATGCGCACCTTGTATTTGTGTACGCTAGGAAGTCGTCAGTATTTGTAAACATGGTGATCCTATTCGGGATGTCTTGTTATCTTATACTTACATATTACTGTATTGGTGATTTTATTTATGTGTGACAGGTGCTCCTCCAGATGTCCACATCCGTTTTTTATGTCACGACCTCACCAGGAATGTGTATGCGACTGCAAGAAAAACTCAATTCATTGTAACAAAATTAAATATGGCATCGAACCTCTAAAGCGCAAAGAGTTTGAGTGAGTATTTCAACCCAGCGTTTTTTTGTTTGTTTGTTTTTCTTTTTTTATTCTAACATATGGAAAATATTTGCGACAGAACAACGTTCTATTAAAAATCTTCATTTAAAAATTATAATACTATTAATAAAAAAAATGGTCATCAATCCTAAATATGTGTGACGAGTTTTCAGATTTCTGCAGAAAGTATTAACTTCTGGGGAAAATATCAACTGCTAAACATTGATTCATAGGGACCACGTGACATTATTTTCTTTCAATCTATTTATTTAACTAATAGATAATTATTTTCTTTTCTTGTTTAGAAAATTTTTAAGTTGTGACATTAAATCTCTGACTATCATTCAAACTATCATTAGATTGTCTCGATCTGGTAACGAGACTAGAAGTTAAAACCAATATTTCAAACCTAGATAACACTGGAACTACTTGATAATACTTTGATATCTCATTTCAATTTTTAAGATGCGTCAAGCGAAATGAATGTATGCAGCCGTCCTGTGCGGGAGGTCGTTTTGACATGAGAAAGGGATTTTGTGAAGGTGTTGAAAACAGTGACCTGCCGATACTTCATCTCCTTGAAGAAGAGCGTCACAGCCCGAGGTACCCGGGTCGTCGGTAGTCCTCGCCTAACCACTGAGTCTCAATTATTCTGACGTTCTATCAATTTTTTATATGGGTTTGGAGTCGATGAACGTCAGAACTCCGTCCTATTGAGGAAAATAAGCAAGCCATGCATGGATCGGCATTCATCCGCTAATTGTGGAAAGAACTGGTCATTTTCACTTCTGACGTTCATCGACTAGAAGCCGATTTAAAAAGTCGATAGAATGTCAGAATAAATCCGACTACTCACCACCAAATAGTCAGTCTACCTCATCCATCGACACATCCTCTCAATCCAAGGGTTTCATTTTGGCTAATTTGAACTGTTTGGCTTTTAACGGCCAGTCGATAGCTGAGATAATATAGGGCCAGATTAAGTGAAGCATCTTGATAAAGGTAATTAGTCAGCAACCTTGAAACAAAGCGAAGCCGAATTGACTACAATACATAATTACCATATTGTGTATCTTTTGTTTTACCATCTCGTCACATTATTTTTGACCTTAGTGTTCTTAGGATTTACGTACGGCCACAAAAGTTGGGCGATTCTTTACTGTCTCATATATTACGTATGTGAGTGCTAGTAAGCTCCATACTGGTCTTTTATCTTATGAAGGTGACAGTGAAGTGACACTAATCTTCTACTGGTTGTGTTTTAAGTACTTTGGTCGGTTCTATATTTAAAACAAAATGACCAATTGCCTTATGAAGACCGATGGGGTTGCATCCAAGTGTCGATTTTATCATTTTGTTGTCGTTTGATTCCCTTTGTTTTAGCAAAATATCGCAGGTAACAATTTTCTTTCAAAAATGGAATGAGCAAACAGGTATCAACCACAGCGTGTGTCATCATGAAGGTCTTGATTAATCGTTATGCAACTGTGTAATACAGAGGCACAGATATTGAGACAGAAACCCTTGTATTTCGAAGGTGTCATACAGTTAACATAATCATTGGATAACATTTACTATTTATGTGTGGTGTTCTGTGTTCTATAAAAACTCACCATGGACTGTGTATTACATGTACAGTATCATATAGTGATCAGGTCCATTCTTTATTTATTTACAGTCAGTACCAAATTGAATCAAAACAACAAAGTGTGTTTATTTTTATTTTTATTTTCGCGAAATAAAGTTTCGGAATAGCAAAGATGCCTTGTTGTTTTGGGAAAAGATTTTGGTGCTGACGAGCATATTTTTATTTCATTTTATTTCATTTTACAATTTACAAACCAGCAAACTACAGAGGGAATTTCGGTTCTTTGAAGGTGATTTGCTCACTCACGCATAGAGGTAGTCACGTGCTAAATCAACACGTGTATGGGAAAGGAAAGTACACGTGCTGATTTGGAAGAGGTATATATACGGTATAGGAGTCCTCAATTTACCTCCCTTTGTTTAAATATAGTACCCTTTTTTTAAAGTTATGTTATTTTTACAGAAGTTCGCTCAATTGCGATATGATTCGTATCCTTTTTCATCGACGTCCACGCAAAGAAAACAAGTTAATGAGAGTAGATGTTAATGAGTGGATTTGAATTTCAAGGGAGACAACTATTGAGTGTAAAAAAAGCGATGCCTCCTGTAATACTGCATTTTAGACTTGTTCAACCCAACTTTGATGACTTGATAATAAGTTAAGGTTGTTGTTTCCTTTATCTGATAAGCGCCTCCTAACATAAATGTCGCGGGAAATATGGGCGGTCCCGTAGATATCTTAAGAGATATCAGACAATGGTTATTATAAAACTATCTAGGGAGGTAATTGTTTACCAAGTAACAAATATGAAAGTGTGGAGTGTCGCGGTTTACTTTAGATAAGGTCTTTTTGTGTTTCCTTGATAACCTTGTATCTTAATACGACGAGAACTCAAACGTACCGCTTGGTAAAAACGAAAAAGGAAAATACTCATTCTTTTATTGATAGTGTTAAATGACGTCACATACCACTGAACAAAGCTTTGACTACCATTTTTCTCGGCCAAGTTAAATGTTCCTACAGGTTTACATTTATGTTATTATAAGTTTGGTCAGTACGATACAAATTGGTATTACATTGTTAAGATTTTTTTCTTTAATCAGAAACATTAGTCGTATAATATACATCTTCATTTCATTGTGATTATTTATTTTGATAGGAAAATGTTACTGTTTCCGGAATATCATCCCGTTTTTCATTTTATAATTTATCAGTAATAATTCTATTCTAGATATTGCTTTATTTCGGCACTCAGATATCTTTGCATTTGTCGTTTTTTGCTTCGGAATGATAGATTCTTCAGGACTTGTCCGGCTTGCATCACACATCATCATGAATTCTGAGTCTCAACTTTATTTCCCGTTTTGAAAATTATTTAAATCATCTGCAAACGTGCGATTTTTAATGGTAATGAGAATATATCTCACCAGATTTTAAATATGTGAAATATCAGTAGTGTCAACATTAGAAATCGATTTTAAGTATTTAATTATAACAATATTTACATTGTAGTAATTCATAACAATTAAGTTAACACAAATTTCTTATTACCAAATTCATTGATTTTGTCGCCTATTTTAGATGTTATCGTCCATATCATGAACTCGGTTTTTGTTTTTGTTTTGTTTATTTTTTTTTTTTTTTTTGCAATTTGTTGCTTTACATTTTCCATACATCTGTAAATATGTAAGCAAAGAACTCAAAAGTAGGTTTTTCCGCATGAGTTTGCATTAAAAAAGAAAAAAGAAAAAAAAATCCTTCAATTTTTGTTGCAAATATTTACTCCAGCTCGTTGGAACAATATCTTTAACATTTTAGAGACATTTGGTTTAGCAAAATATAAGCAAAACTCAGTGATTTCCGTTTTATTGTGTTCTTTTGTTTTGGAATTTAACATAGTGTAAGTTAAATATTTGTGTACATGTGATGGTGTCTGGTTATTAGCGATCATGTACATACATTTATCCTTTGACAACGTTTAACAAACGCCCTGTACTCAAGGAGAACATTTTATTAGGCAAATATTTTTAATACATGTTACCACAAAATTAGATTTATCAAATCTGTTTATCATTATTTTCTGAGTATGTAGAATATGGCGAAAATGACTTATAATTATAGTCATTGAAATGTTTGTTTCTCAACAGGTTATAAGATAACGTCAATGATTTGTGATCTTCATAAGTCATTGAAATGTTTGGTTTGCAAGTGCTTGATATAACAATCTTAGCCATTGAAATGTTTGTTTCCAGCAGTGCTTAATATAAAATGTCAACGATTCAAAATCGTAGTCATTGAAATGTTTGTTTCACAGCAGTGCTTAATATATCAATCTTAGTCATTGAAATGTTTATTTCTTAGCAGTGCTTAATATAATGTCAATGATTTTTTTATCTTAGTCATTGAAATGTTCGTTCTCAGCAGTACAAATTACAACGTCAATTAATCATAATCTAAGTGAGAGAAGTGTTTGTTTCAAAACAAAGCTAGAGTTTATGTAATTTTTATATAACTTTGGAATTTTATCATTTCAAAATATTCTTGACATTGAAATATGTTTCTCAGATTTTTGAACTGTTAAGAAATCAAGACGTGGGTGATGTTACTAGATATTGTGGAAATGATATCAACATCAGTCTAGTTATTAACTTAATGTGCTAAAAATATATGCTCTTTGATATTGTGATGTTAAATTCTTCAATGTGTATGCTTTTTGAATCTCTATGTAACACATACTGTACACAATGTCATTTTCGCGGGAGTGTATTTTCGCAACTATTTGATTTAAAATTTTCGTGATAATATGAATCAGCTCTGAAATAACAAAGTTTATTGCACGACTTTTAAAGATTTGTACTCCCCCCGCCCTCCCAAACAAAAATCAATGAATTCAGCAGCTCGAAAATAAATTCTCCGTGGAATGACAGCTGTGTACTTTTTGTCAGATTCTGTTTAGCTCATAATGAGTGTGTTAATATTGGACCAAACAGCATTTTATAGTAGCGTATGGTTTACAAAAATGAATAGTCATCACATTATATTTATTACCGATTGGTTTTTTTTTTTTTTTGTTTCTTAATGAAAATGATTACGTCCTTTCACATATAAATTTTTATGACATATGTTCATCATTTTGTTCACGATCTGTTGGCGTGGGCGAACATAATAAATATTTTAAGATTGGAAAATCGTTATTTGTTTTTGTTTTGTTTCAGATTTACTTTTAGTTCGAACTGAATAATTTATTAATTCTTTCATACGTATCGCACGTGCTTGAGAAAATAATCCGTTTTCTTTAATCACATGTAAATACAGCTGTACTACTTAATGTAAAGACTTATTCTATACTTTTTATGTCATTCGCCTTCACATTAAAAGTGTGGGAAAACACAAGTGCAATTCTACAGAGGTCAAGGTCAAAGGCCAGGTTCAAGATTAATGAAAGATTGACGTCTTGATTAACAAATGCATCTAAAGCTGAATGGAAGTTAGATACTGAACTAGGAGATATAGATAAGATCGGAGAACAACCCACGTGACTACATTTATACGTATTCATAAAACAAACAAAAAACCACTTGAGATACAAACATCGATATCGTTTCATAAGATTTTAATTTAAATTAAAAATTACAAAATATGGATATATCTCATCATCTGCTTGGCGTTGTGTAAAAATGTTAATAAGTTTTGTTTAAATATAAAAGTTCATAATTGGACGGACTTTGTTGATTATGAAGTGGAATCGTCACCACACTAGCTTCATATTTTCCCATCCAATTATTATGCACCTTCTTCCTCTCCTTCTTCCTCCTCAAACTCTCCTTCCTCGTCGGCGGTGGCATCTTGGTATTGTTGATACTCGGAAACCAAGTCGTTCATGTTTGACTCGGCCTCTGTGAATTCCATCTCGTCCATACCCTCACCTGTGTACCAATGTAGGAAGGCTTTTCGACGGAACATAGCTGCAAGTCAAACGTAGTCGATAAATAAACATGCTAAAATCTAGAATGGTTTGCCCGCCATAGCACCTTCCGATTGGCTTCGCCTCGCAAGTACGGTGTCCACTAGTGCAGCCTAGCGGAGAAAGGTTAGGTTAATCCATTCTATTTAAAATCTAGATAAGTCCATTTGATCATGTAAATTGGACTTACTTTTTCAAATACAATTTCAACGAAGGCTGCCAAATAGAAATGACTATTTGATCAAGTCAAAAGTAGTCAATAAATTTGAGCTCTTTCTAAGTGGGAAGTTTGACCCAATAGAAATAAAACCAGCCATCTAGTTAAGTTAAAACAAGCCATTCCAAATATAGCCGATCAACATTCCTACGCAGTAAAGAACTTATTCCTACACATAAATACTCTAAAGCTAGAATATTCAAGCAGCCGATGTTTCAAACCCAACAACAGTAAACAGGTTCAGCGAGAGGGAAATTTGTTACGTTCAATATACATTTATACATTTATATTCGACGGTGAACCTACCTGTAAACTGCTCGGAGACACGTTTGAATAGTTCCTGAATAGCGGTAGTGTTTCCGACAAATGTAGCAGACATTTTGAGACCACGTGGTGGGATGTCACAGACTGCAGTCTTTATGTTATTAGGGATCCACTCCACAAAGTAACTGCTGTTCTTGTTTTGTACGTTCAGCAACTGTTCATCTACCTCTGTATAAGGAAAAAAAATCACAGTCGTTAGATTTTTTCAGTCTGCGTCAAATTACCTTTAGATAGATTTCGTTTCACCAGCAGTCGACTGTGTTTTGTCGACGTTATCGGAATTTCATCTCAGTCTGTACTGGTGATATAATATTTGTTGCAACAAAATTCTGAAGTGGAACATCAGAACTGTACTGTGTAAGGCATGTGCTAATTTCATGTAAACTTTGTGAAACACTTGTCTTACAGTGCAATAGTTAAGGCCATTTTTTCAAACGTAGGTCAAAGATCACGGTCAAGGTCACATGGTCAAAACTTTTGGTACCACAAGGATGGTCTTGTCATAAGAACACACATGCCAAATATGAAAGCCCAAACTCTTACGGTACAAAAGTTATGGGAAAGGTTAAAGTTGAAAACATACAAACATACAGACAGCACAAAAACAAAATGCCCCGATCTTTCGATCCGGGGGCATAGATGGGGGAAACAACTGCACGAATTCAGCAGATTGCATGACAAAAACGTCGTGATTAGTCAGCAAAATTTTTTTTCGGCCCGTGAACAGCCAGTGTTATTTTGAGGTGGAATTGCTTTGTAGAAAGTGATAACTTTCCGAACAACATAAAAAAGGACCGTTGCATGCCGTTCAGAGCGATGAGAGTAAAATGTGTTGACTAGGACCCAACTACGACAGCACAGACCAGTCTTATGATAAGCACTCAGAGAAGTAACCAGTCATGAATAGAGAGCGTCAAACCATACACGTCAGATCTCCACCGGAATTACGTGGGCTAACACCCTAACCGAAGGACCATGGCGGTCCCCGGAGTCATAACACTATGATGCCATTGAAAAAAAAGTATTACGTCACACTGATTTTTATCGATGATACATTCGAATTTTTAAAACTTGTCGATTGACAAGCTCGTGTAGATAGGTTTTTACCTTTCATGGACATCCTGCCCCGGAACAAAGCAGTTGCCGTAAGATAGCGGCCGTGACGAGGATCGCATGCAGCCATCATGTTCTTGGCATCAAATATCTGCTGGGTCAACTCCGGAACTGTCAGAGCCCGATACTGCTGGCTCCCCCTGGACGTAAGGGGAGCGAATCCAGGCATGAAGAAGTGGAGACGAGGGAAGGGCACCATATTCACGGCGATCTTTCGTAAATCAGCATTAAGTTGACCTGTTGTTAGAATAATTCGTTTGTTATCATGTTCATACAGATAAACAGGACAGAATTCAAACATATTAGTGTTATAGAGACATTGACTGATTTGTTTTACTTATTTCGTGAAGTGCTTTCAGATAAGAGGGGGTAAAGTATCGTCACAAAGGCAATGGCGACGTCAGGGATCCTCGTATCAAGTTCACTGTAATGTTATAGAGGGGAGTTGAACAGCTCGAAGTCGACAGGATCGTAAAAAAAACATTTGAGTTATCGAAGTATTCGAGTTGTTTTTGAAAAAAGAAAACGACTGTACGAAACATACGAGTTAAAAGCATCTTTCAATAGAAATTAAGAGTAAGATACAGTAGAACCAAACAATGAATCAAATTGCACCATACAGCTGTGTCGTCCTTCTAGGACTCGTCAGTGATGCTACATCATACAGCTGTGTCGTCCTTCTAGGACTCGTCAGTGATGCTACATCATACAGCTGTTTCGTGCTTCTAGGCCTCGTCAGTGATGCTACCTTCTAGGACTCGTCAGTGATGCTACATCATACAGCTGTTCGGTCCTTCTAGGACTCGTCAGTGATGCTACATCATACAGCTGTTCGGTCCTTCTAGGACTCGTCAGTGATGCTACATCATACAGCTGTGTCGTCCTTCTAGGACTCGTCAGTGATGCTACATCATACAGCTGTGTCGTCCTTCTAGGACTCGTCAGTGATGCTACATCATACAGCTGTGTCGTCCTTCTAGGACTCGTCAGTGATGCTACATCATACAGCTGTCTCGTCCTTCTAGGACTCGTCAGTGATGCTACATCATACAGCTGTCTCGTCCTTCTAGGACTCGTCAGTGATGCTACATCATACAGCTGTGTCGTCCTTCTGACTCGTCAGTGATCCTTCTGTCGTCAGTGATGTCCTTCTAGGACTCGTCAGTGATGCTACATCATACAGCTGTGTCGTCCTTCTAGGACGCGTCAGTGATACTACATCATACAGCTGTTTCGTCCCTCTAGGACTCGTCAGTGATGCTACATCATACAGCTGTTCCGTCCTTCTAGGACTCGTCAGTGATGCTACATCATACAGCTGACTCCGTCAGGACTGTCAGTGATGCTACATCATACAGCTGTTTCGTCCTTCTAGGACTCGTCAGTGATGCTACATCATACAGCTGTTTCGTCCTTCTAGGACTCGTCAGTGATGCTACATCATACAGCTGTTTCGTCCTTCTAGGACTCGTCAGTGATGCTACATCATACAGCTGTTTCGTCCTTCTAGGACTCGTCAGTGATGCTACATCATACAGCTGTTTCGTGCTTCTAGGACTCGTCAGTGATGCTACATCATACAGCTGTTTCGTCCTTCTAGGCCTCGTCAGTGATGCTACATCATACAGCTGATTCTTCCTTCTAGGACTCGTCAGTGATGCTACATCATACAGCTGTTTCGTGCTTCTAGGCCTCGTCAGTGATGCTACATCATACAGCTGTTTCGTCCTTCTAGGCCTCGTCAGTGATGCTACATCATACAGCTGATTCTTCCTTCTAGGACTCGTCAGTGATGCTACATCATACAGCTGTTTCGTGCTTCTAGGCCTCGTCAGTGATGCTACATCATACAGCTGTTTCGTGCTTATAGGACTCGTCAGTGATGCTACATCATACAGCTGTTCCGTCCTTCTAGGACTCGTCAGTGATGCTACATCATACAGCTGTTTCGTGCTTCTAGGACTCGTCAGTGATGCTACATCATACAGCTGTTTCGTCCTTCTAGGCCTCGTCAGTGATGCTACATCATACAGCTGTTCCGTCCTTCTAGGACTCGTCAGTGATGCTACATCATACAGCTGTTTCGTGCTTCTAGGACTCGTCAGTGATGCTACATCATACAGCTGTTTCGTCCTTCTAGGCCTCGTCAGTGATGCTACATCATACAGCTGATTCTTCCTTCTAGGACTCGTCAGTGATACTACATCATACAGCTGTTTCGTGCTTCTAGGCCTCGTCAGTGATGTTACATCATACAGCTGTTTCGTGCTTCTAGGCCTCGTCAGTGATGTTACATCATACAGCTGTTTCGTGCTTCTAGGCCTCGTCAGTGATGTTACATCATACAGCTGTTTCGTGCTTATAGGACTCGTCAGTGATGCTACATCATACAGCTGTTTCGTGCTTCTAGGCCTCGTCAGTGATGTTACATCGTACAGCTGTTTCGTGCTTATAGGACTCGTCAGTGATGCTACATCATACAGCTGTTTCGTCCTTCTAAGACTCGTCAGTGATGCTACATCATACAGCTGTTTCGTCCTTCTAGGACTCGTAAGTGATGATACATCATACAGCTGTTTCGTCCTTCTTGGACTCGTCAGTGATGTTACATCATACATCTGTTTCACCCATCTAGGACTTGGCAGTGACGGTACAACATACATATGTTTCACCCTTCTAGGACTCGTTAGTGATGATACACCATACAGATGTGTCGTCCTTCTAGGACCCGTCAGTGATGCTACATCATACAGCTGTTTCGTCCTTCTAGGACTCGTCAGTGATGCTACATCATACAGCAGTTTCGTCCTTTTAGGACTCGTCAGTGATGCTGCATCATACAGCTGTTGCGTCCTTCTAGGACTCGTCAGTGATGTTACACCATACAGCTGTGTCGTCCTTCTAGGACTCGTCAGTGATACTACATCATACAGCTGTTTCGTCCCTCTAGGACTCGTCAGTGAAGCTACATCATACAGCTGTTGCGTCCTTCTAGGACTCGTCAGTGATGTTACATCATACATCTGTTTCACCCATCTAGGATTTGGCAGTGACGGTACAACATACATATGTTTCACCCTTCTAGGACTCGTTAGTAATGGTAAGGGCCTAAACTGTACAGCCTCGGAGGAGACCAAGGAAATCCCAAAGTGATCGGGAAACAAAAATCAAAAGGTGGTGCACAAGACCCATAATTAGAAAAAAAAATGTGACTTCCTCAATGTTAGTCAAGTACATATATATATTATGACCTTTCGAGTAAATGAAAACGTGGCACGCAGGTTATGGCAAACCTCGGAGACTAATAGTCCTCAAACAGTGTCTACCACCTACAATACTGTACCAAAGACTCACAGGTGAATATTACTTTTAAATATAAATTAATAGTTAGATAAGTAGAGCCAAACCATGATTTAAACTTCATCATACGTAAAGAAGACTTAGCCGGGACCGAATATCTTAGTTCTAGATAAGAGACAGAATATCACCATAACAACACACGATACAAGTCTTACTCCGTCGATGGCCAACCTCGGCAAAGTATAAATCGCATCACGCAATTGAAATATTATTGACCACAAATGACGCTTAAATTCGTTAAGCGTTTATAACAAGTCTACCCAGCGGCATCGATCAGCACGTGGGAAGTAAAGGACATGCGTCATATCAAGGACAATTTGTAGACTTAATTGAGCACTATGGATGGTCTAAAAGATTTACCTGGAAATCTGAGGCATGTTGTGACTCCAGACATTGTGGCAGAAATGAGATGGTTAAGGTCTCCATATGTCGGCGTAGTTAGTTTTAATGTTCTGAAACAAATATCGTAAAGAGCCTCATTGTCAATACAGTATGTCTCGTCCGTATTCTCCACAAGTTGGTGAACTGAGAGAGTGGCGTTATACGGCTCAACCACTGTATCCGACACCTTGGGGGATGGTACTACGGAGAAGGTGTTCATGATCCTGTCCGGATACTCCTCTCGGATTTTGCTGATGAGGAGGGTTCCCATACCTGCCCCTGTACCACCACCGAGGGAATGAGTCAACTGGAACCCTTGTACACAGTCACAACTTTCCGTCTCCTTCCGAACAACGTCTAGTGCCGAATCGATCAACTCAGCGCCCTCTGTGTAGTGACCTTTGGCCCAATTGTTTCCGGCGCCACTTTGGCCTGCAAAACCGGAAGTACATACACAATATATAGTTATGTGTCTGCATCACTGTAATTAAAAAAGTCAAATAGTTTCAGGATTTGACCAGCTTGTTTTAGATGATACCAAAACATGTAAGAGTCATTAAAAAAATGACATCCTGTAAAGAACAGCCCCAATCTCCACCAAACAAAAGTATTTAACAAATAACACAGAAATGTAACACTTGTTCATTGGCTAAAGTTCTGTGTTTTAACTTATAAACATACATCGTTCCCGAAATGTTATCCCGTTTTTGTGTAGGGTTTATCATCCAGGATCATTTTGAGGCTCAATCTTCATGAAGAAACTGATGGCTACCTCACTGAACAACATTTGAGTGGCCCATAGCATGCCATACATGGCAATTAGAATGAGTACCGTGACCAAGGACACACCTGGATAACACAGACCGGTCCGTTTCTCAGCTTTCTGAGAAACACAACCCGCCATGGTTAGGCAGTGTCGAACCTCATACCTTCGATTTTCAAACAAAAAACAAAACATCATTTTGGTCAGTCAACAACGACTAGAAATAAACTAAAAGTTTAAAAATTTGCCATTTTTATAATTTCGTTTTGATCATATGATATCGTACATGTAACTTCAGGGTTACAATAATACGAACCGAACACAAAGTTGTCTGGACGAAATATCTGGCCAAATGGTCCGGACCGCACGGAATCCATTGTTCCTGGCTCGAGGTCAATAAGGATACAACGGGGAACATACTTTCCACCTGTAATGAAAAAAGTTTTTTTTCATACACTGACCTAAACATAAATGAATGAAAAGATTCTACATATATGACGCTCGAGAATGGTCTTTATTTTATTTATTTATTATTTTTTTTTTTTGAGGGGCGGGGAGGGGGTTGTTCGCATTTAGTTGTAGCAACCCGCTGTGTGAAATATTACATTTTTATTGAATTGTAATACTAGTAGGAACTTGAAAAATACTCATCACTTTCACAGACCAAAAATGAGGAGAAGGAGAGAGTAGGGGCAGTAACCCTTGGTTAGCGAATGTACAGAAAAAATATAATATGTCGGAAGGAAAAACTAATTTGAAAGAAGGAATATTGATTGTGCAGTTAAGTTCATACAAATATATTCATGTAAACAAATAATGTGTGACTACGATGCAAATGCAAATTTGCTTCATGTTTTTTTTTCAAATTTGTTCGTAGTTGTTTAAAATCATTTCTTTATACCATATCTTTAATAGTTTATTAATTCTTATGTTATGTGAGTTCATCTTGAATTTAAGAAAATAAAACTCTCGCGAATATTCATGATTTCACAGAAAGATCACTAACCTGTTGCCTCGTTGAAGTATACATTAATACGCTCCAGCTGTAGGTCAGAGTCTCCATGGTAGGTCCCTGTGGGGTCGATACCGTGCTCGTCTGAGATCACCTCCCAGAACTACAAAAGAAAACATAGCGATGTAAGTAAAAAAGTGTTAATCCTCTACTGAAACGAAAGAAAGCAGGAACTAAGGAAAACGAAAGGAAAGGTAACTAATTTTAAAGGAAAAAACGCGTCATCGTAATGAACAAGAAATAGAACGTGTGAAAAGTATGGTTTATATGAGTTTCAAGAAACACCATCAGCAAGGTAAGTTGGAATGTTACTTCTAATAAAGGAAAGTTACTGATCGAGAATGTAAAAGACATTTGTCATTTTGCTTTATTAATGAAATTATTATGGAGCAACAGAAGAAACATTTATACTCCATATAGAAATATAACTTAATGTTCATGCACAACATACATAGATGGTATGTGATGTGTGTTGTTCAGTAAAGTAGCCAACAGCTACTATAAGGATACTCCGTCCCAAAATGACCCTAGTTGTTCACGGAGCGCTAAACCCTGAGACCGAATAACATAATTTACACGTTAGTGGTACAACAGGAGATTGATCGTACAGTCAAATTAAAGTAAAAAGATATAAAATTTAAAAGATTCCGCCTGTTAGAGCGATCTAGTTAAACATTAAACTGACTCCAAAGTTGTTATATTATGAAGATTGATTGTGAAGGTGGGTTTAACAATGCATTGCTTCAAAAGAGATGTCATTTCTATACATTATATTTTCAATGCGTCTATTTGCGCCTTTTAATTCCATCCTTTAAAAATTTCTGAAAAATGACCTCGAAGATTTTTCACGCAATTGTGTGTCAAGTTCCTGTCAATCTCTTATCGATTTTGTATGAATATATATCTTGTGACTTGAAACCGCGAAAATATTCATACTCCAAACAATTGCCTTTTACAGTTTAAAATATAACAACCTTTTTCAGTTTGAACATCTGATATATTTCCATTGTGTTTGTTCAATCTTTTGTTACGAAATATTCAAGAATGAGATGTTTTAAAAGAGAACAATTAAATTATAATGCGCAGCTGTATAATTTGACAAAGATTAGAGTTAAACAGACACTGGGAAACCGACCCATCCTTTCTGGTTTTTGATATTTGTTTCGATGACTTTGGAATTTCCTCACTCGCTTCCTAGGTTTCAACCATGTATATCCATAGCAACAGCTGCACGATGTAGTTTTATCCATTGTCTAGTTCTACTGTATATTATCATAATGTGTTATTCACTTGGGTGTCTTTTGTACAGTCTTTTCAGAAGATCAGGGACAAAGAAAACACTCAGAAACATTTAAACAAAGATAGAACAGAAATCAACCTTTAAAATCCGGATGTTAAATGGTTATCTGGTATTAAGTTGAAGTTTTAAGTGGCAGTTATTCAGCGCCAGACAGGACTGTTTATTATCGTTAAATATCAACAAAGAAAATTAAACATTCTACACTATTGTTCCTATAAGAATTAAAATGCTAAGACTTCATGAAGATGTGATCTTGAGGTCTCGAGATCATTGACACTTTTTAAATAAAAACATACTTGATAAGAATGCACGTTCTAATTATATCGCCTTTTAGTGTAAACGATAACTTAATCCGTATCAACCTGTCAAAAATTGTTTAATTGTTTGACTTGTGTAGTTTTGTTTGTTCTTTAACAGTAGTGTGAAGAAATGAACAGGGGTTAATCCAACAGATATATTAGAATAGAGAAACCATTGTCAGGAACTCGTCTATATAAATTGACAATACTTGTTTCAACATTGACACCCAAACATGTGTCATATTATCTTTCAAAACGAGCAAACAATCTGACTGATTTCCCAAACAGGCCAGGACAATGATGGTCCAATATTTGATTACGATCTTGAGTCCATATAACGTGGAGCATTGTGGAGGTCCTACCATCCTCTCATACAACATACAATATCCTCACACCGGCACATAGACAGTCTCACCACAAAATCCAAGCTGATTTATAAAGCATTCCACATCGGGATCAGTCCGAATTATACTCTTATCGATATTTTATTTAAACTGTGAATATGTGTAGATCAGGACATCAGAAATTAATGTAACAAAGTAATTTCGAAGATAAGTCGACGGAAATTCTGAAAAAATACCTTTAAAACCATTTAAGCTATTGTATATAGCCAGGCCCAGGTACACTGGAACATAGCAGCATGTCTTATCAGCATCACAAGTAATATTTAGGGAGTTTACTTAAGTACTCTGGCTTTAATTTAAAGTCGAGTAAACACAATACATTAACAGAGAACTTGGAGCTGTGAACTAACATATCTACACCGGATATAACATGTTCTGAGACAAATTTACATAGTCTGGTAATAAAATCGTGGGAGAAACACTGAAATGTTTCTAGAAATAGTAATCTTATAGTCCCATGTAATTCCTTACGGCTATTAAGGGTATACCTCGGGAGACGGAAAAACGTTTAAAGTTGTGAACTTTTGAAACACAGCTTACAAGTCACACTCTGAGGTATTTCGGCAACACACTATAAGCGATTAATCAAAATTAGGCTGTGCGAGAAGTCATTCTTACAAATGTCACCTAGAATATTAATCCGAAAGTTGTTAACGATTCCGTTGTCAATATAACTGATCGCTAGGGATGCCATTTCAGTGGGATGCGCTATAAACAGGATAAAAACACCGAAACTAATTGTGCTGTGAGGCAGGTGAGGAATGCTGTTCCTTTCATTCCATCTAAATTGTTCTAAAAGTACCTTGATTTTCTAATTGCAAAATATTGTCCATGTTGATTTATGTAACAGTAACAACGCCTTATACAAGACAAAAAGTAATACCGTAACCAGGTAAGCAACGTTTCTATATTATCTTCTTTAACGTTTGACTCCATCTTGTATTTGAGAGAGCAGATGACACTGAACTCTGAATTATATATCGACCGTGATGGAATGATAGCTTCTAAATTATCAGGTACTAACAAGAGTTTCTATCACTGAAGGAATACGAGAAAAATCAGCCTAATACTTCTTGATTTTGAAAGATCGTGTCATTTTCTTTGTGATAATGACTGATCAAAGGAAACTGTCGAAAAATGTCTCACATGTATCGGTTTTTGTTGCTGTGACATTACTTTCTTGGTTTGACCAAGATTTACATGATGTCGGTCATAAAGCAGAAAACGCTTACTCTTCCGGAACACTTCGTTTTATTCTCCTTGTACTTTTTCAACAGTCTCCGTGTAAATCTTGCTTTATTAGGGCTTTTCACCAACTGGTTTCTTATTATTATTATCATTATTCTTCTTCTTCCAATTTTGTGGGTTCGTAATCTTTTAAACTGTAAAAGCTAGACATACAGTCTATTCACCTTTTTGTAGATACGTATATGAAGTTGTCGATGCCGATTTTTTAAGTAGGTCAAAAATTAAATATGGCCGCCATGACGTCATGAGTTAAAAACTTAAAAACGGCAATATCTCGAAAACCATTGTACAGAGTTTGTGCAATGATATTATTTGTAGTGAATTTAACTATCTACTTTTTTTTCCATGCCATATTAATACAAAATATGTCAAATAAAAAAGCTCGCTGCGGGGTAAAGTTTTCAAAATTTAACAATTTTTTTCTTTTTTTTTCAATTTTAATCTTTCTTGAAATTTTTTTTCTTCAGATCGATGTAGAACATCCTTCCGATGAATTTAGTGTTTTGTTTTTCGGTGAGTCTGTCCGATATCCAAGCTTGTCGCCAAAGAAGTGAAAAGCCCGCAAAATTGTTAGCAACAATTTCTTATTGAATTTGAGTTAGGATTCTATTTGTGTTGATATGTTTGTATGTTATATAGTGCAGTTTCACTGAAATGTCATGGCACATCAGCATGATTTCTCTTCCGGTCAATTTTACATCGACTGCAGCAGTTATATTTACTTGAAGAAGAACCCTCTACACGAAATACCAACTGAAATACCTAAAGTCAGGAAGTGTCAAGGAAATATTTGATAGATTAGAGTTGTAAGTGAAAAAAGAAAGACACGACACCTATAGAACGATATTGGTTAAGCTGAAATCAGTTACTGTTGTTGTAGAATATCAATGTACAGCACGTGACACTAATAACAGCGGTGATTAGACTGGATATTCTGAGTTTAGATTCATTCTAGGGACAAGGGCTACTAAAGGTTTGGTAATAGGAAACAGATGATAGTGATACTGAAATGTACCGTGTCGTGTAATGGTAGCAACTGAGGGTTGTGGTTAGAGTATCCTTGAATTCCACTTTATAATTAAAAACGAACAGCTATGCCTTTGAAACAAAAGTGCTTTATATATCATCACATTTTTGTGAAGAAACTTAATGAATGAATTTGTGTTATAAAAATTATTTCAAAAATGTGATGAAAATAGGAAACAGTTATGAATTATTTGATATTTTAACGCCGCCAAGTAATTACGGAAGTACTTCGGTCAAAGCAAATATTACTGCGCGCATGCTTCGTCCGGTTACTTTAAGATTGATTTGCATTCGTTTAACAATTGCCACTGCAGCACAGATGGAGACATATTATACTATGGTTACATAATATCAACTTCATTTCATATCAAGTTCAATACCACGCATAACACGGTACAAATGAATAGGATCCGGATAAGTTGTAGTAACACTATGTCTACATTACAGGCATAACAGTCGTGTAATCACTAATTCTGTTACACTGATTCATTAAGCGGCGATCAAAACCTATATTACCGTTAGAAAAGCAAGATGCTTTACCAAATGAAGTCGATATAATGAACAAACTTTTGGAAATTTATCTTTCTTAACTTTTTCTTTTTTCTTTTGCTTTTTTTATTTGTTCATATAGATTATCTATGTGCTACGTTATAAACATTCCAACATTCATTTTTACGTATTGATACAGAACCTAAAATACCAATCGACAAAATTAATAATTTTATTATCTACTAGGAAAACATTTGGAGCAGCTGTTACAATGGTTTTATACTGCTCGTGGATAATCAGTTTGTTTTCTGATATCAGCTACACACTATCTCTATAAGTGATTTATGTAAGTACTTCGAATTATCGGATCTTCACTACTAAAGTGAGAAAAAATTTCTTGACTGCTCCGTGTCGACTTTACGGCGCTTTTCAAAACATGTTTATGTATATGCACTCATTATCACATTAACTTGGAAATTCGGCGATGTAGGAATACAATCAACACAAGCACGTTTTTGATGTACATAGGTCAATTTAAATATCTTAGTTCATGCATAAAGGACCTTTTATGTCAGCATGTTTTAAACATTATTTCTATTTCTGACGCGTGGTGTACAATAAGTTCGGTTTTTTCTCTCTTTTTTATTCTTTTTACCCCCTAAAAACTTGTTTATTTTATACGCATACGTCTACATAACTTAGGTAGTAATAGAAATTCCATTGTGAAATATTTCATGCAGAAACATGCATTTTACAGTTTATGTTATAGCAAATTCAATAAATAAATTTTGTTTACTATTTCTGAAGTGGCGATGTACTTCACGTACACTGACTATATCGGGTATCACTAACAATGGGAAGTTAGGTATATCAACAGACAAATGATATCATACCTTAATCAAAGTTAAACACTGAATATAGATAAAGGAAAACCACACAGGCAAAACAAGTAGCTTATACATAAGATATTATATTTTTCAGACGTGCAAGAAACTTGAATGTTGCCTGCCTGTATGTGTTAATGTATTAAATAGATTTGTGATACTTAAAACTTCATCTACAACAGAATAACAAAATAAATAATTTGTAAATGAAAAAGTTCAGTTATGAATTCAGTTGACATTAAGTGCTGAAATATTTCATTACCAATTTGTTTCGCCTCTGTGCGATTCTACGCTGATGCTAGGGACCACACTAATACTGTTTATTTTTTGGATATTAAACAAATCTTTTTTACTGGATTTTAGATTTGGATAATTTTTTTCCATATTCTTACGACAAGTATATGATATGTAGTACTACAATACTTTACTTACCTTGGCCCCAATCTGGTTGCCACATTGGCCTGCCTGCATATGAACAATTTCCCTCATGGTGATTTGTGTGATGTTACCTGCAGGTTTCTCTTTAATAGGCCCAGTTAGCCTTTACTTCTCATATAAAATGTCAAAGACAATTTTATCACGTGACCAGAGTATATATCTGTAAAGGTTGACCTATCACTGCCGTACCCTTCCGCTCATGTAGTCCCGAAATGGTCTCGTCCTGTGTCAATGTTGATGCGCCGATCAGGTGATCAACGGTAGTAAGTTTTACCTGTTAATAGTAACACCTTTTATTTAAAGCGGATGGATATCAGCACAGGACGAAACCTGAACTGACAACGCGTAGTTCTTTCGTATTCTTAACAACAGTAAACATTTAAACACAACTCTTATAAAGTATCTCGATACGCCAAGTTGCTAGGAAACTTTAAATCACCAAACTACCGGACTTCACGTGGGCTTAGATCTAAAATTTGTTTAGTGTTACGGATACAGTTGATAAGTATTTGCATTCCAATTTTTTAAAAGAGATTCCATGAGCAATTTTACTGATGTTGTTGAATGTGTCGTTAACATAATCAAGATTCAAGGTAATAAATTCCATCAATCATTTCTGTTAAAGGTTTCAAGTAAAAGCATCAGAGATATTTTATCTAAACTACTTTCATTATTTTATTCCATTACTTTATTTTCTTGAGCTCATTGTGAAGTGTAAAAAAACACTTGTTCTTATACACATGCCTACAATAACATCTTATACAATCGTATTTCTTGTGATGTAGATAGAATTTTTGATAAAAAAAAATCTTAATTTCCGAATGAACAATTCTTTGGTCATATAGTGATAAATTTTGACATGTTGAATGATTTAACCTTCACAGGGGTTATCGGTGCCGTTAGAACTCTGTTGTCACTAGGTGTTCTTTTTTTTATTTAGTCTGCTAACAATGGTTGTTAAATTGCTTTCTTATGTTTTAATTACTTTTAATAATAAGTGAACTTAATGACATTACTTTGACTTCAATTGACTTCATGTTGCTAATTGACTAATAAATCCCATATTAGATATATACATTGGCAATGGCATTTAGTATTCTTTCTCGTTTCTATAACGGCGTATTTGATTGGATTAGATAGGTCACCTGACATGGAATGGTTTTAATATCTATGTATTTTCCCTCATTAGGAGGATCTCTGGAGAGTTTCAAATCTTTAATGTTGTGTTAATTCTCTATTTCCCGTAAAAGTTCATCATTTTGCGCTCCTGGGGATAAAATATGTCGATTTTGTTTACATTTACGTAAATTTTTTGTTGTCTTATGATATACACATTTGTTCTCGAGATGTACAAATGTAGTTTAACAAAAGTTACGTGGCCATCGCACTGAAAAATATCTAAATCTGAACAGCATACCACATTAGTCACACACTGCTCAGGTTCGTGTCATTCAAATATTTAATTAATTAGGTAGCATATGCAATAATACAATGTATAACTTTACCCTGAGTTATACTCCAGCGCAATCCACCCACTGATACGGCATGCCATTTTCCAAACAATAGTTACCGTGTTTACATCGCAATATCACCAATAGAACATGTTTAACACAGAGCCCACAATGTTACATGAAAAGTGTGTAAAGACACTTTTCTTCACACATATATCAGGTCAAAGAAAATGAAACTCTTGGGTCTTTACAGATCAAAGATGGTGATGACGATCGTTCAGGTTTAACAGAGTGAACTAATGTTTGTTAGGAAGTCATGGGTATATTTACTATTGGGGAAAATGGCTGTATAACAAGGAATCATCAATTTTGTATTGCGATATGACTTTGTTAACATCAACCTACTTAATATATATACTCAGAGCATCATATTCATCATAGACATAACATTCAGGTAATAAAACAGTGCAACACACAATAATTTCTTTTAAAATATTCCTATCCCATTATTGAAGATCACACAAAGGTATTAATCAATTAAGTGATGATTTCAACACTTGCTATAAGTGATGGTTTCAATACTTGCTAGAAGTAATGTTTTCAATACGTGCTATAAGTGATGATTTCAATACGTGCTATAAGTGATGGTTTCAATACTTGCTATAAGTAATGATTTCAATACTTGCTATAAGTGATGGTTTCAATACTTGCTATAAGTAATGATTTCAATACTTGCTATAAGTGATGGTTTCAATACTTGCTATAAGTGATGGTTTCAATACGTGCTCTAAGTGATGATTTCAATACTTGCTATAAGTAATGATTTCAATACTTGCTATAAGTGATGGTTTCAATACTTGCTATAAGTGATGATTTCAATACTTGCTATAAGTGATGGTTTCAATACTTGCTATAAGTGATGGTTCCAGCGCTTCCTATAAGTGATAGTTTCAGTACTTGCTATAAGTGATAGTTTCAGTAATTGCTATAATTGATGGTTTCAGTGCTTGCTTAAAGTGATGATATCAATTAACGCATTAGTAATATAGTGGGATAGAGAAACCCCGTGTATATTCAGAGAAGCTGGTTTGGATACATAAAAAATATATACCCCATGTGTTCTCCTATGAGAAATAGAAATGATATATTAATATGATTATCTTAATCTAATTAAGCATCAATAAACAAAAAAAAATAATCCAAGCTCAAATTCAATAAAACTACGGCAAAATGTGAACAACAGAAAAATTTACAAGGAGATTCTTGCAAAAAGGAGCATAAGATCAGGTGTTCCAGAAGAGTAAACGTCTTCTGCTTCATGTAAATCTTGGTCAATCGAAGTAAGTAACGTCACATTCTCAAATGAGGACACGGTATACAACAACGGAACCAAAAGGCAAACTAATCAATATGAACTTAACATATATATCAAAGAATTTAAAATGCTTAAAACCAACCTTTATAGTATGTACAGGTAGGTACAGAAGAACTGCGTTTTCTTACAGATAAAAATAAGGCTTTGTTTTATGTGCCCGACATTGCTTGTGGTCAACATAACACCCACAGTGTAACTAGTAAGGATATTTTTATCGCCTTTCTATTTCATCGTCTGACCCGTGCAGGTGATGGGGAAAGAATATACCCGCTGTTTTACGTGGCACCCGTTGCTGGTCGGGTTAGTTTCTTCGACGCCTCCTATACAAGGGATATCGGAGATTCCAAGAGAAAGGCCTGCTGCTATCCATTGTATGTTCTTGTAAGATACTTAAAAAAGAGGCCTCTACAGAATCTGGAGTTTCTTCTTTTAAAGTCAAACCAACAATATTCCTTTATTTTTTTCATGCTTTCTATTTCTTTGCTTTTTTGTCCCTCTAGATATGCAAAATGACCCCCATTTAGTATTTGGTTCATCACTCCCGATTCTTTAACTCCGTGGTATCTCATTGTCATGGTCAAAGAATGATACTGTTGTATGTTGATCAGGCGCGTTTATGTTTACCTTTCAGCACTACTGATATGACTGAAGACCACAGAAAATAATTATTTTCATTGCCCTAGCGGTCATGAGTTTAATCTTCTGGTCACTAAATCCTTTAACTTTAATATCATTAATTTTCGTGGGGCAGGTTAGTCCTGTTGATTTCGTAGGTACTCTAAATCCACCAATTTATGTGTCCACGAAATGATAAACATGAAATCAAAAATTTTAATGATTTGGGATTTCGTGAGTATGATCAATCGATGAGATCAAGTGTTCAGGGAAATTCAGGGAGTCTCACCAATATATGTGATCTTACAATATCAAGTATTTAAGGTCACCACCTCGTTATTTCAACCACGGACTTGTATATATTTCTATCAGTACCTTAGGAGTTAGTGTGGCAGATCTTTTATTCTTTAAGTTGTTTGCAATGCTCTCGTTTAACAACATTCACTGTGACGACTGTGAATGATACATTAAACTATTATTAGAGAAATGTACAGGTGTTTCACGGTCATTGGGTATATTCATCACGGACACCATTGTTTGAGGTTATTATGATACAGGGAGAGAATGGGGGACCAGATGTTGGGAGGGTTCACGACACAGAGTTAATTTACTCAGGCCTCATTATACATCTAACGCATTCATATGTATACATGAATCATTGAATCACATTCGTGTTTGGTGATTAGTACTAAAACGACGCATTTTGAAAACTGATTCCAACTGTTGGTCGTGGCCACCACATATATATCACGTGTTCATTTTGGTGTAGGAAAACCTGAACGTTTTAATCATGTGTGGAATATCATTGAATAGATAAACAGATTGGGAGACAAATTTACATAAACTTTAAACTTGTGTTCAGTCCCCCCCCTAATACCCATGCTGTATAGACCTTTGCTTAAATATATAGAAATAAAGGGAAGGGTGATACTGTAATACCTGTCCTTCATACTAAGATTATTTAAAAAGACACACATAAGAATAGCACATTTAGATACAAAAGAATTAGACATGGTAGAACCAAATGATGAATTTAACTACATATATGTCTGTTTCGTTCTTCCAGGACTCGCCAGTGACACTAAGGGTCTAACTTGACAGACGGCTGTTAGAAGGCTAAAGATGTAAAGTCACTACTCATTTCGGTCCCAGGTAACACTGTAGTGGTATCTCTATTTCCATATGAGATAGTATTTACTATATACTGCGTAAATTGCCTTGGATTTATTGCCTGTATTTATGTACACTGAAGAGATGTGGTAAATTGTGAAAACTTGTGTCCAATTCTTTTGTAAATATTTTAATCCAATAAAATATATTTAATTCCAAATTATACTGATATACTGTTAATAAAACTGAACAATTTGTAAGCAATTTTGTAAATAAGATAACTTAAAAGACTACAAGTTAAAAATATTCGTGTAAAATTCTTCTAAATAAATTTCACATTTCGATTGATTTTGATAGACAGAACGTGTGAGACTCAGATAAGATTCAGCTTTTTCTTCTTCACAGTAACAGTGTAACAGGAACTCTGGCGCTTATTGAATGTATATAAACGTTTGAAGGTTTTAAGCAGGTTCGTGAGGTCACGTTGGGAAAGCCACTGGGGTCCTTTTATCGG